AGGGACATAATCACCACCCCATATGAAACACTAATCAATCGATCTGCATCCTAAAACTTGTTTTATTTCTTTGCCTGATTAATGCAACAGTAAATATTTCACATCAGTGTGTTTCATATTTATGCTAATTACTGATCTGCACAACTTGCAGCAAGAAATTCCCTCTGCTCAATATGCAAGATTCCTTTTGTCAGCATTCTTTTGCAAAACATCCTGCCAATATATTACATACAGAAAAGCCTATTATTTCCTTTACTGAGGCCTTCACTGTATAACCCTTTCTCAAACCATCTTCATACAGAATTTTACTCCTGCCTCTACGCAGGAGCAAGTACCCCATAATACACAATATTAGGACATGGAGAAAGAAGGATAAGGTAAGTTACACCAACACAGATAGAGCTACAAAAATCACCCTGCTCTTAACAGAAGCAGATCAATCCCAGGGTATAACCTCTTGCAGTGCAGAAGGCAAATGAGGAGTGTTGCTGTGTCCCTGATCTGACTTACAGCAACTCTTAAGACAACTGAAATTGGGAAGTTTGAAAAAAGAAGATTCAAGTTACTCCACGTCTCATGTCCAGCTTCCCTGTCTAGCACTGACCCTTGTGGCAAGACAGCAGTTTTGAGTATTTGGAAACTATTCGGCATCAAAGAACACTCCAGAAAACAGAGTGAAGAAGTTTCTAATGTTCCCCTGAAGAATACTGAGGTATCACAGGATATCAGATACAAAAGGCCCAATGATTTCCATCGCTAAGATGCAGCTTTCATCCCTCAGAGAGGAATGTTTACATGTTACAACACAGGAAAGTTGTAAGTGAGGTAACACACTGCTTGACACAAGACATTTGGCAAAGAACAGAAAGCACTTTAAAGACTGCACTGGGTAAAAGATGCCACTTATTTTTCAACCAAGTCTTTAGGGAAGAGGAAACTGTCATCTCAAGGAGCACCAAATACGACAGATACCTACAGAATATCCATCCCTCTGAGTGGCAGCTGGAGGCCAGAAAAGATACACGAGGGCATCTCAAATGCCCTGTGTTCAGGAGTGCCTCAGGTGACTCACCACTCCCCAAGAGACAGGGAAAGTCACCCTCTGACACCTGTCTTGAGAACACATATTCTACTTGATAAGACACAAAATCCACAAGAAAGATGGAGCATAGCACCAGCTGTACCATAACCTCAAGTTCTGCCCTTATCTTCTGCCAGGGCTGTTCTGTTACACAACCCTGAAGTGACTCTCCACTTGCCCCAGGCAGCTCTGTAAAGACAGCACTACTGTTCAGATAACTAAGCAGTGTCAGAAAATAAAGCAACTCCCATCATATTTGATGCTGAGACAAAAGCCAAAATTTATCTTTGATAGTGCTGCCACCAGTGTGACGAGACCACTACTGCTGCCTCTCACCTATGATCATATGAGGGTAAATCCTCAACTGCTCCAGCTTGCACCAAGACATACCATTGCTGAAAGCATCCGTTTCCTCTCACTTGAGTTCCCATTGCACCTTTCTTACCCATAAATATGATCCCAGTGATCATTTATGCCAGAGCCACAATTTTCATTTTCTTCCACACTACAGAGATTAGCTTGCAGGGTTTTCATTAAAAGTTCCCCTAGAAATCACAACCATTTCAGCTGCAAAGTTTAAATTTGGAAATTAAATCATGTACTGCCACTGTTACAGCCTCACACAGCTACAGAGATTATTAAGAGTTCAGAGAGTCAAAAGTAAGGCCAATTCACCTTAGTCAATATGGTGCTGCTTCCAGTTGCTGCCTATATAGAGCTAAAGGGACTGTGTTAATGCTGCATAATAACCAGGCACACTGAGGCACACACTCAGTTTTTTAACTGCAGGTGAAGTTAGGGTGCAAACAAATCAAGATATAAAGTGATTGGCTGCTCAGAATCCCAAATATATTTCTAGGATCAACTGTCTCAGGATGCACCACTTCTTTCAGCAAGGATGTATTACAAGTCAAATCCCCTTACCTACAACAGTTGGAGCTTGCACTACTCAGCAGTGCTGCATTAAGGCGGACGAGAATAAGATTTTTCAGACTACGAAATGAAAGGCAGAAGGCAAAATAAACCAGCAAATCTAGCAAGGAAAAGACTCCTCCGGGACTGGCAGGCTCTGATTTGCAGTACAACTGTAACCACCAGTCACGCTTCACAGTGTAAGACTTGCAGTCAGACACCCTTGGGATACCATCAGTTCATGTCTCATTTATTTTCCTCAATTTTACATCACACCCCCTGCCCCCAACAGTGCAAGATTAACGCCCATCAATGATGTTACTTATTATGTCCTCCCAATACTCTGTCAGTTAGTTATCTTACCAGGACCATAAAGGTTGCTATCAGTGTCAAAGGGACTTATAGATTCACTTGGACTGAAGATGCTCTAGCACAGCAAAGAGGGAAGGCAAAAAGCACAGTAAACCCCACAGAGCAACATATTTTAAGATATTTGTTGCAACTATGCTGCACCTTTTACAGACTACTGCTAGAGTTTTGTCAAGCATCCTCATGAAGAGAAGGGAAATGCAAACACACCTATTTTCTCAATACTGTTCCACCTGCCTGTGCTCTAATCTGCTGTAATTCACCCCACATGGGGGCTTCATCCCACCCAACTTTACTTGATTCTGGTCAGATGTGTGGTCAAGCTGACAGACCAGAGCTTTCCTTAAGAGAGAGAAGAATCACACTTCTTATCTTTAAGGAAAGCTACTTAATTCAGTCCTCTCTCCCCTGTATGTGAGATCACTTGATGTCATCAGTAATTACTGCTGTGTTCTTCTGGGAGGAAGGAGACTGGAATTACAACAGTCAAAAGTAAGGCACAGCAGTACAGCTGTCAGTTTATCCCATGATTTTTAGTTACACATGCTAATTAGTTTTAGGGCTCAACATCTGTACTATCTTAAACCAAAGTTTACCTCCCCCAAAGAAGCTCATAAGAAAACAGCACAGCTGTCCTTACTAGCAGTAGCCCCAGGGGTGTTATATTCATCGCTTCTCCCAGAAAGTTCCTGTTTTTCAGATAAAAATAAAGCCCATTTCTCCCTGGGACAGGTATCAGTGTGCTTCTCAAGTCTCCTCTGACCTGTCAATTCCCATCCTGCATTCCAGACTGTGGGAGGTACTGGAAGTAAATCTCCATGTTCTGAAGGTAACCTTCACTGTCTCCCAACAACAGGAGCACAGGAAGCCTTGGAAATTGAACCATAAATGTATCACTTTATCAATATCTTTTCTGTTCATGTTGAAATATTCTGAAAAATATTTCAATTTGTGGTTGTGAGTGATATTGTCTGCTACTTGCTGCATGATATTGTTTGCTACTTGCTGCAAAACCTCCCTTTTATTTTTCCACTTATAACTGTCCAATGCTATTTTAAGAAGAAGAAAAAGAAGATAAATGCAATGTGCAGTCTTACTGCACCTTTGGCTGTTCTTTACTGCTTTGGAGATGGGATATGTAGAAGAGAAAAAAAAAAACAAAACACACTTTCTGGGCATCAGGGAAGCCTTGGCCAAAGGTCCTTCACATCAACAGGAATACAACATATTTCCCAAAAAACAAGAATTGAAAAAAAAAAAAAAGTAATTATTTCAACAGAAATTCTGCATGTTCTGTCACTCCCCTGTTTCTCCAAGGACATTCCTTTTCCTCAGAAAAGGTTATGAAGGTATGTCTCCGAGCTGAGGAACTTAAGCTGAATAAAGACTGATATTTCACTTGCCAGGCAGATTTCATTACTTAGAAAAGAAAAAAAAGAGACAGTATGGCAAGACCTCCTCGTCAGCACCACACAACGACCCGTTTGCCAAACACACACTACAACTTTTAAGGAATACAAGCAGGAGAGCGCGCTGGGTTTAACACAACGTGAGGGAGGGAAGGAGTGGGGATCCCTCACGGGGGGGTGCGGGAATCAGAGGGGATCCCTCACAGGCGGCAGGAAGGAGAAGGGGATCCCTCACAGACGGCGGGAAGGAGAAGGGGATCCCTCACAGGCGGCGGGAAGGAGGAGAGTCCCTCAAGGAAAGAGGGAAGGAGAAGGGGATCCCTCACAGACGGCGGGAAGAAGGGTCCCTCACGGAAGGAGGGAAGGAGAAGGGGCTCACTCAGGGAAGGAGGGAAGGAGAAGAGGGTTCCTCACAGACAGCAGGAACGGAGGTCTCGGTGTTGGCGCTGCCACAAGCGCTGCCCCCTCATCGTCCGCCCCGCCGCCACCTCCCTGCAGCCCGGCCCGGCCCGGGACCGCCCGGCCCGCCCCCGGCACCCACCGCCGAGCCAGTTGGAGGAGATGTTCTGCAGCATGGTGAAGGGGACGCAGAAGAAGGCGATGAGGAGGTCGCTGAGCGCCAGGGAGCAGATGAAGATGTTGGTGACGGTCCTCATGGCTTTGCTGCGGGTCACCACGTAGAGCACCAGGCAGTTCCCGAAGAGCGCCAGGGCGAAGATGAGCACGCAGATGAGGACGAAGGCCACCTTGGTGCGCCCCGGCAGCTCCGGGATGTACACCAGCGGTTGCAGCCCGTAGAGGGTGATGAACTGCTCCCGCGTCACGTTGTTGTCCCGCAGGAGCTGCGTGAACTGCTCCGGGGTGATGTTCAGGGACCGCATCGCGCCCGCTCGGGGACCGACTCCCTCCTCAGCCGCCTCAGCGCGGCGGCCCGCGCCTCGCCATCGCCGGACCGCCGCCCTCCGGCGCTCAAGCCTGCCCGAACCCGGCGGCGTGCAGGGGAGGTAGGGGCGCGCAGAGCCGGGATCAGCCTGGGGGCGACGGGGCGGCGGCGGCACCGCCGCGGCCACAAACTTCGAGCGGCGCCGCCCGCGGCCGCGGCCAGGGCGGGCGGGAGGGGGGCGGCAGCCAATCAGCGCCGAGCGCGCGCCTGCCCCGGCCCCGCCGCCCTGAAGCGGGGACGGGCGCGAGGCGGCTCCGAGCGTGAGGGGGCGCGCGGGGACCCCCTCACAGAGCTGGGACCCCCTCAAACCGCTCCCTCACGGGGCTGGGTCTCCTCTCACAGTGCTGAGATCCCCTCAAACTGTTCCCTCACGGGGCTGGGTCTCCTCTCACAGTGCTGAGACCCCCTCAAACTGTTCCCTCATGGGGCTGGGACCCCCTCAAACTGTTCCCTCACGGTGCTGGGACCCTTCTCACAGGGCAGGGACCCCCTCACAGGGCTGAGACCCCCTCACAGGGCAGCCCCTCATAGCTGTTCCTTCACAGGGCTGGGACCTCCTCACAGAACTGCCCCTCACAGCTATTCCCTCACAGCGCAGCCCCTCACAGGGCGGGGATCCCCTCACATCGCTGCCCGTCACAGCGCTGCCCTCTCGGTGCCGCTCCCCTCTGACAGCTCTTCCCTCACAGCGCTGTCCCTCACAGGTGTCTCCCCATCGCAGGCTCGAAAAGCCCGAGGCGGGAGCTAAAACTCCCGACCCGACGTCTCGTCTCACGTTTCGATCAGGCTGAGAGGGAAATGAAGGAGGTTGTTCTGTAGGTACACGTGCTCGCTGGTCCGTGCCCAGCCCAAAAGAGGCAGCGCAGGGATTTTACCTGCCCTTCCAGCTCCCTTTGTGGCAAAGCCGCTGCAGGTCCTCGCACGATGACGAGCCAAAGCTCAAATAGAAAAGTAATTTTCCGGCCTTTGGCCGCTGAGCTCACTGAGATCCCAGGAGGGTCCTCAAGATCCCTTTGCCAGCAGGACAACCACTCTTGCCAGAGGAGATGGGACAGAACCCCACCCCACACAACCTGTCTAGGCTACTTACGTAAGGTTATTTAGGCTACTGAGATGCACTCAGCAAACTGGCTGCAACAGGAGTCAAGATAATGCCACCGCAGCTTAAATGTGGATAATAATGACAGTTAAGGTCTAACAGAGGGATCAAGTTGAAAATATGCATTAATTTGTCTTCCAATCTGATTAAATTGCCCACTACGGCTTTCTGACGCAGATATATCCCCTTTGTACTGTATGATAATACATTTAATAGCAACAACTGATCAGTCACATAGTGAATTATCAAAAAGAATCCAGAGAAGGCAATAATAACATGGAAAACTGTTCTGACAACACTTACCACTCCCACAGAGGTACGTGTTCCATAAGGAAAAAACATCACCAGGGAAAATGCTGCAAAATTAGATTTTGTACAGAAGGATGCTCCCTGCCCTAGGTATGTCTTGACCTGTACCAAGAAAATATAGAAAAGGATGAAAAATCTAGCAGAAGCTGTCTATTTATAAGGTATTTACAAGGTTTCAAGGTTGCCGAAGAAAACTGGGGAGATAAGAGTTCACCACCAAGTCATTCTCAGCAAAATGAACACGCTCAGCAAGAGCAAAGCTTTTTTGTGTCATCTTTGAAAAAAAATATTTCTGTTAAGTGGAAATCACTGGAGAGAAATTCCAGTGCCTGCACTGCTATGTGTGTATTCCAACCTGCACAGATCAGTCCTCCAAATGCTGACAATCCTCCTTTAAGGTTTAGCTCCATGGCACAGATTCTCTTCATTAGCCCATGGTGAAAGGGCCCTGTCACCTTTCTTTGGTGCAGTACTGCCATGTGTTTTCCACTTGAGAACAATGTGATCGGGCTCCCTCTCTGACAGGCTTTCTAAGCTTGTTCTGGAAGGCAAGTGCTCATCAAACTGACTTAGTTCCTGACATTCAGACAGCCCCTTTCACATTCTCTTAGGTCTGCCCTGTTGGCTAAGAAAGCTCGGTCTTTTAGTCCTATAATGATCCTGCTGAGCCTATGTTCCATATCAAAGATAGACTTCAAGTTCCAATTTTGCCAGCACCTTCCCTACATTGACTACAGCAGGTACAGCCTAAAGCCACCTTCATGTGGTGTGTTCACACATCCTTTCCTATACCTCTTTTTCTTTTCCCTTTCCCTCTTCCCCCAAAACCTTGTTTAGCAGCTCTTCTATTAACAAACAAGCCAGATGCATTCCAGCAGATTTAATTTCTCTTATAAATAAAGGGCCAAACCTGGAGGCCAGTCTGTCACCCAGGACTGCAGCATTGTGTTATTCATTGCAGAAAGCATCCAAGTGTTTCAGGAACAAATAAATGGGAATAAGCTCTCACCTAAATGCTGCAAATAGTCTGGGTTTATGGATAACGTGGACATTTGTTTTTTCATATATCCTTATTTTATTATCATGGCTGCTCATCACAAGTAATCAAACAGCATTAAAAATGAACAACGTCTGAACAGTTAATTTACGGAATATAAATAAATCTTGAGGCTGTAGGCTATGGAAGTTGGCCATTACATCTGCTGCAGATTTAGCTGGGGTTTTGTGTGCAAAAAAAAGATTTTCCTGTTAATATTTACCCACATGGAGAAGATAAAGGTAGGATTTACAGAAACTTCCATTTCCTATGAGCATTATCCATTCTCTTAGCTGAAACAATAAGAGCATGGACATCATAAAAGTTATAGGTCAAATCACTAGTAACTCTATTTCCCAGCTCCTTGACCTGAATGAAATCATATTTGCAGTAAAAAGGGTTGAGTTACAAAAGGTGACCTCATCTAAAACCTGCTGAAAATACTGAAATGACTCCTCTGCTTCCCTGGGCTACCAATAATTGATAGGTAGTGAAAAGTGTTGTTTACTTTTCAGGGCAGCAACTTGTGTTCTGTCTTATCCTGCACCCCAGGGCTACTCCAGCTCCTGCTGCTTCCTGCAGCCCACAAAGCAAGGCCACGTGGGGTTGCTCTGACTTTCCCCACGCTCATTCAACTCATCAGTGAAATGACCTGCCTGTACATACCCTTATAGACAATAATAAACTACAAGGCATTTTTCTGTTCCTTTGATTATTGTTTGTGAAACTGATGCATTCACAAATATAAAGCAGTTCGAAAAAACCTCAAAGTATTCTAACAAGTAACTGACTATACAGAAACAATGCATTTTTCATTATTCTTAACTGAAAAAAAAAAATGAAGCCTCCTACTAATTAAGTGGCTAGAAATATTTTACCTCTGCATTAGAATCCCAGTGAAAAACCTTTACAGTTTGACACAGATCAAGTCTTGGCTTTACCAGTAACACTACTTTGACTTCAAAGAAATTGTATATTTCTTGGTCACAAATCTACAAATTGATAAACATGAAAAGAGGTGAAATACTTGTTGTACCAGATTGCACTCTGCCAAAACCACTCATTTCTTCATGCTACCACATGTTAATTTTTTTTGCCTAGATGAGTCATTTGTGTGACACCTTCTCCTCATTCAAAAGGGACAGTGAGTTTTCTGCAGACTGAAAAATACTGTTAGTCAGTCTGTAACCTTCTCTCTTACAGAGAGGAAAGAAGCTGTAATTGCACTGTTTCCCTTCTAGGAGCAAAAAGATCCATGTGTGACAGCTGTGGAAAAAAAGGCCAACAACAAGGAATGTGCACACACAGTGCTGCATAAGGTTTGTCAACTGAGCATGAAGTTTGTAAAAACTGTGAACAGCACACATTTGGAATGCTGAAAAAATAATAATCCCCAAACAGAAATTTTAAACCAAACTTTGTTTCCTTCCAAATCTCAACCGATATCGTCTAGTTCGTGCAAAAGAAATAGATAACAAAACTACTAACAAAAAATGCCTTTCCTCCTCCTCTTTCACTCCCTTGACATTTGAAAATACTTAGGAAAGGACAATCCAGATCCATGTCACCAAGCTTTTAAACAGTCACTGGCAGCTAATGATTAGTAAACCTTACTAGCCTTGAATCCTCTGGTAGATATGTTGGGGACGAACTCACCTCTAATCCAGATCAGTACCACAGCTTTTAGGATCATTCTCCAAAGGAATGGAACAGCTTACCATCATCATTAGGTAATTTTAGGTTAAGTCAGAAATAAAGTGGCTGTTAGAATTGCCAAGACAGCTTCTGAAACATAAATTTAGATAGAGCATTTGCTGATTGGTGAGAACATATGTTTGGAGAGAGCACTGGAGCTAAATCTTCAACTTTAGATTTACATACTTTTATACATTCAGACAAACAAACCATAAATTATCTTGGGAAAGGGAAAACTTGACACTAATCAGACCAGAATCTTAGTTGGTAACTAAGGATACAGCTCAAACTTGGAATTATCAGTGTATACCAATAATTATGAAAAAAAAAAAAAGCATGGATATCTAAAACAGAGTTGCACACGCTTGCAAAGTATGTTGGAGAGGCTGAGCAGAAAATAAATTGCACAGGCCAACTCCAAAATGTTTTGTCTCCTACTGTGTGACTGATGATAAACACCACTGGCTGATCATCTTTATTCTCAGGAAGCCTTATGTCTCTACACCTCTAGATTTAGTGATCCCCTCTGAGTTTTATAACCCAGCCACACCTGTCAGTGATATTAATGTACAGGGTGAGGGAGACAAACCTTCCATCCCCATACAGCTTGTCAGTCATATTTGATACAGCAATTAAATGAGAATTACATGCAGGAACTACTCTTTGTTTCAGCCAGGAGAGCCCAATTTCACTAGTCCTGGATCTTTTAGACATTTTGACTCCTCCTGCCATTTGTCATCCAGGAATGTTCAGTGACATTGTGGGACCAAAAGGAGGCTGCAGCAAGAAGAATGCTCAAAGAGAAGAATCTAAATTGACTTGTTTTTTCTATTTTCCTTCCTTTCCTCCCCTATTCTCACTTCTCTTCCAAATGAAGTTAAAAAGAAAATGGTCAGCAGCTCCACAACTTTAAAAAAAATTACATAACATGTTTAACTTTTGGGGGTTTGTTTGTTTAGGGTTTTTTTAAGAGTGGGTTTAATTAAAATAATTGAGTAGTGATACGTACACATGTGCAAGTAGCATTTCATACACATGCCAAAATACTAAGCCCTATATTGATTAGTTTTTTAAGTTCCTTTCTTGTGCTTGCACTGAGAAGCAGTTCATCCATCCTCAATGCACTAAATCTTTTCCCTTTCCAATTCCAATTGTTGTTCTCTTTTATTCACGTACACAGAAAAAACAGTTACTTTTTGCCACCAGTTATCAACTGCCACAGTTTCCCCAGATGTGAAATGGAATTTCCTCATCTTCTGATTTAATATCAAGTCTGAACCCTGCTCCAGTCCCATTTGTCAAGAAACAGCTGAAAAGCCCTCACCAAACAGCCACAAATCTCTTTGTGCTCTCGGAGCATTGAGAGAGTTGGTACAGCACCATGATGCCAATATCCTCACCCCCTGTAGCCCTCAGGTAATCTGAATTTCTTTCACTCATTTCTGGATGACTTCTATCCAAAAATCAGTGCTAAACCTCCTATAAACCTCATTTAACACCTGCAGTGAAAGGTTTGCAGTAGTAAATGTTTTCTTTCATCTAAAACCTATCAGCTGTCTGTCTAGCCCCAAATATATTAGAAAACTTGAATGCCTCTTGTTTGTTCTGTCATTTTAGGTTATCATTTTTGTACTAATTTTTAAGACTTTGGTTGACTGTCACACAAAGCCTTATCTAGTTGTAAAAGACCTATTACCTTGTATAGCTTTTAGCTATTGGCCTTCTTTTTAACTTGCACCAGAATTAATTCTCCATCTAAGAGCACACAGAAAAATTTCCACACTTCCACCCAAGAAATAAAATATCAAAGTAATTTCATTTCCTGATAGTCCAGTTCTCCTTTTCTTTCTTTCTATTGGTACTAGTGCTCAGCTTTGTCATTTGCAAGACATTGGATTAAATGTCTGTACTACAGTGTCTTCTCTCCTTTGCTTCTCAAATAAAGAACAACTTATCACAAAACAACAGATTCAGTTCTAGATGCCAAGTTAAAACTGAGGGAATGTTTGGATCCAAGTCTTGCCATGGAAATGCATATGGTGTTACAGGGATTGACAAGGGAAGCTGCACCATTCTGGAAAAAAGCACTTCTAAGAATTGTCACTAGCATGTTAAATATAAGTTACAGTCATGATTTGGTGTATTATTACTAAAGTACTGTGATATGAAGATTATCACACTGAAATGCATACAATCATTTGAAATGTTTCTATTTATAATCATTAATTTCACGCTGTCAAGTAGAGATTTAAGCTAGTTTGACCTGTAATGACTATGTGACAAAATTTCAGCCTCTCATTTTCACATTTCAAATGCACCTCAGAGAAAGATCTTCTCCAAAGAATATAATGCTGCAGTCCTATATGTCAGGTATTCAGTTACACAGATGACCCTAAATTGTTTCTGAGAGAGAAATTTCTATAAACTGTTAAAACTTTTAAAAATCATACCTCCTGTTGGACAAAATGCTACCAGTAACAGTTAAACAGAAGATGCCATGTTCACTTCCATGTAAGCATTTTTTTCTAGATAAAACCAGTATTTGCAACCCTTTAAAAATCCCTTGACAAGTTGCAAAGGATTTACAAAGGAAAAAAAATGACCACCTGAGATGCAAAAGAGGGTTGGTGAGAAATTACTTGGGGGAAAAGGCTGATGAATGGAATAAGAAACCTTGGGAGAGAGAGACTGCAACAGAAATAACCAGGGAAGATGAACATAAAAGTATTAGTTAAATAATCCCCTTCCACAAAAGACCTTTCAGGGCAAACCCACAGATAGAGGGAGATGAAGGCTGCCCACAGAGAGATAAAATATTTCTTATGCTTTTTGATGAAATCAGACTCTCAGACTTTTTTCCATCTAAGAGTCTTTCTACTGTGATTAATCTGCACCTTCTCTGAGAAGGTAATTAAAACAATCACACTTCCCTGGAAGATTTTCGAAAACCACCTGACGACTCAACAAATCCCAGTCGCAGTGAAAGGCAGTGTACACCACCACTTAGAAAAATCCCAGGAAATGGCTAATCTTGCCTGTTTGGATCTGGGAGTTTGCTGCTTCACCATGATTTGAGCAGCAGCTGGATTGATCCCTCCCAACTCCAGAAGGTTTTATTACGTCCAAGCATGTTCTGGTCTGATTGGCAGCAGTTTTCTAATTTACAGATAATCATAATACTTCAGATAGGAGAAAAAATACCCAGTCCATGAAATACCCTGTGCACCACTCTACTTCACACAATCCACACAGTATTCCAGGAGGGATAAATCCCAGGCCCTTTAATATGGCCCATCATGGGCAATGTGGGGCTCATGAATGATAATCAGGCTCCTTAGCTATAAACTTGTGTGCTTTTTAAGTGTGTTGCGACTGGTGACCCTGCTAAGTTGCTATTGCACCATGATTTAGTTAGGGGTGATTATTTCCACATAACCCTTATTATTCTGAATTAGATCAGCCTTGCTCTGAATAATTCCTTCCTTTCAATCAGAATATTAAATCATCCTTCTTCCTTTTCGATGTTTTGCACAGCATCAGCTAGGAAGGGTGGCATCATGTGCTGAGCAGCAAGAGGTTTAATCCTGACAAATAAATTGGTTTAGGACATTTAACTGAATGAATATTAAAAATGCCAGCATCAACAGGATACAGAAACAATCGAATTCTGTGCTTTTCAGGGTTTGGGAGCTGTGTTCAACTTGGCTAAAGATGATGATGATGGTGATGATCACTCTGGGACATTTACTTCCAGTAAATGTATCTCCATGAATCAAGTGTCATGGAACGTCACAGAATGTCAACAATAGGAATAGGTACAATTTGTCACACAGACTCACAGCAGATGAATGAGATAGTCAGTGGGCTGACAAAAGCTTTGGCAAGAGTGAGACTGAGGAGAAAGGAGTGGGAAGAGGTGGAATCTCACTCTCACTGTTTATTTGCCCCTTCAAGTACCACCTCAACACTAGGTTATACCTTGCTTTTGAATAACAGGTTAAAAGTGAATCTAGTTCCAAAAGAATTAAAAATATTATTAAATTACTGAATGACCAAGTGCCATGATCAACTAGAAAAAGAAATGCAGGATTTTCATTGTTAGTAACAGAATTTCAGCCTAAGGCTGAAACAACAAAAAGCTCCCATAAGTAGATGCAATCACCAGAGACCAGAATTTTGGACAATTTTATGCATTGAGGTGGTATTACAGCAATATAAAACAGGAATATAAAAGCTACAGGAAGCTTTTATAGTTACCTACACTGTCAGTAAGACAAGTGTTATTTGCAGAAGCAGTAACTTCCTCAGTGTAATTCAAGGATAAAAGAGGTCAAGGAAGTGAGAAAAAGCATTAAATTGTGTAAGAAATTCTGGGATTCTTAAATTACCTGAAGTGCAATGGAACAATCTGATCTTCAAACAGTGTCAGCATCAATAGGCATTTTTGGCACCATTCATTTTTCCCAATACAGTAATGTATTCAGAGACACTGTGGTCTTTGTTTTGTAAGAATGTGAGTGGTTTACAAAGTGAACACCATGAAATAAATCTAAGGAGTTTTCTCCTGAATATAACAGAGGTAAGAAAAATAGAGCCATGAATCAAACCTTTGCCACTTCATATTTTACAGCTACTGTTATACTGCTCACCATGAACTTCTAGATCATTTTATGTGGAAAGAAAAATTCCAAAAATATTCAGCCTATTAAGGACTCAGTGGCAGAGAACTCTGCTCTTTTCCAAGGAGGGTTTTGACCATGGCTCCATGCATGGTTCCAGCCCTTTATTGGGTAAATGAACGTTTCTTCAACCAAGCCTGAAGATCATCATCCTTCTCCAACTGAATTGGAACAGTTTGGTCACACCAATGCCTCAGCCTTTGCCAATGTGTTGAACACGAGGAGCACTTCTAACTCCTCTCAGTTTGAAACCAATCAAGCCAAACTGGAGAAGACACAGAGAAGGATGATTAATGGTACAGAGTTTTTCCTCGTGTGCAAAACCCCTCAGCTTGGGAACGAATGATACAGAGAATGAGAACAGAAGTCTAAGAGAATAACACTGAGTGGCAGAAGCTGGTGAACATGGTTGTTTCTTAAAAAAAAAACCAAACCAGCAACCCACAAATTTACCTGGTTATACTTTCTATTTTCAAGCTGACAATGGTCTAATTAAATGCAGTAATAGTCAAATCCTTGAGGCAATATTCCTTCTTCCTCCAGCTTTTCAAATTATACTCACGGTTCTGAGAGACAAACAGTGTTTAGTGTTCTAGGTTACTGTTAAGTCCATTGTGTCAAAATATTAAATGCCACAGCAACAAAAAGTACAAACTTGACCCAGATCAGAAAATAGAGATGGTCATTAGTAAACATCATGTCTTGTCATTGACAACTGGTGGGACACGGAGGGGTGGAGGAACATGGGACAGAGGAGAGAGGGAGCAGGAAAGGGTCACTGCACATGGAAGTACCTTTCTCAGTTATCACTGATTTTATATGACACAGCTGAACTTTGCCTGTGTTTAGGATGAAAGTGTCGTTTTCTGATTACTCTGTCTTCCATATCCTCAAGTTAATGACAGCCAAGCTATTTCAGTGCACAACTGAAAAAGATTTTTTAAGTTATTGCTTTTGAAAAAGAAAATAACCGCAACTTAAATAGTTTTGCCTGAATACGTTTTCTACCTAAAATTACATTTGGAATAATTACATTTTTTAAACATAACTAAGAACTTTGAGAATTTCTTATTAAGCCCCAGCATTGTAAAGAATGAAAACCACTGGATGAGGAAAGTCACAGCTAAGGAATTGGTAATGAAGTTTTTTGATAGCTGTCAAAGTGAACTGTACTGAATTGATTCTGGAGACTTGACTTCCCTGCAAATCAGTTTACCATAGCAGTTATCATTCAGTGCAGGTCAGCTGTTCCCTGCAAGCCAATTAAATATGAATGCTAAAGCCAAGTAAATTCAGTTATGAAAACTTGGTTCTTTGCCCCTTGCTTTAAATCATACTCGTTTATACCAGTCCTCATTATTTATCCTTATCTTTTTGCCTTTCCCAAAAGTATCATTGAGGACATTTTCTTATCATGTCCGTGCAAAAACAAAAAATGCATTTTCCAAAAGATTTTATTATTTTTTTTCTCATTCAGAGGCAAAATAAGTACCATGGCAATCAGACACTTGGCATTTAATATTTGATAAAATTAGAGACCTTCAAAGAACCATCTGTCAGATTTTGAGATTCATTTGAGAGGGGCATATCCATCTTTCCTTACCTTTATAAAACTCTGCTAACTCCAGAAATTAACCACGAACTCCTACAGAAGGGCACTACAGAGGTTATAAATAATATAATTTTTTTTCTTGCCATCTCTAAAGATCTCACAGAGCCCTGAACTGGAACTCTTTTCCATTTTAATATGGTTCAGTGGAAACATTGTTAGAGACAAGCTGAAAGCCTGAAACACCCCGGGCAACCAGGTATCTAAGAAATGTTCCAGGAGAAAGTGTTCCCTGTTTCACCTGCCCCTGCCCCACACTAGTTTCCCAGCTTAAACTACCTGCTGGTCTTCTCAAGTGTTCTTTGTGAGCCTGCAAAGAGCTCGCTTTCTCTCTTAGCCACTGTTTTTTTAGCTATTTGCAGGAAAAATAGGTCTGAAGAGAACCTCGCATGTGTCATTTGTCAGCTCTGTTGTGTTCTTATTTAAAGTGTGACTCATTTAGCTGAGGTACGCAGCATAAATAAACAGCCTGTCAGACAGCAGCGCTGCCTTGGCTGGGCATCCCTTTCTGCCCTTTCTTCCTGTCTCTTAAATCCCAAAAGTTTTACTCTCTTGCAACCACAGCGCAGCTCTCAACCCTCTGGGAATGAAAAAGCCCTCAACATTTTCCAGAACAGTAGTCCTTTGGGAATCTGGCATAAATAAGTAGCTGAAGAGCAATTACTGTTCCACTGCCCTTTCCCAGACCTCCCTCAGGTTGTTCCCAGAGCGCAGGCTGAGCCTTCCCTGTCACGAGGGCTGGCACAGGGCAGGGGCCACCAGAGGAAAAGGTGCCTGAACCTTGAATGAGCTCCTAAGAGCTTAAATTACAAGATAATTAAAACTGTAATATTGTTATGATAGACTAGGCAAATACCTCTGAAAGACAGAGAGTCCTCAATGCTGTCACAGGCTGAGCGTAGTAAAAACATGTCAAAAACCTGCTCCAGTTAGTGCCATGTGGGAATTGCTTGATATCCCTTTTAGATAGATCCATTCCTCACACTCCTTTTCCAAGTGCTGAATTTATATATATGCTTTAAAAAAATTGTAATATTTTATGCTTAGAATGTTTTCAATGAATTCTTTTGGCTGGGCCTAAACTCAAAGTTGCAACAAGAGCTGTTGGGTTGTTCTCTCTGTCGTGAAACAAGATAATTGGCCCTTGAAAACAGGCCCATGTTGTACATCAAGCTAAAGGAAATTCCTTCCCACCATTCATCTGTTAGATCTTATTAAACTGCTTAGACTGGGACTACAGTAAATAGCTTTAAATTTTGAAGTCTCTCATGTGGTAACCCCAAATACTATCCTTTACCGATAAAACTGAGTTTTGTGGCAATACAATTTTCATCATACCAAATAAATACATACTTAGTAACTTAACTCAAATTATATTCATGTCTGATTCAAAAAAACCCCACCACCAAACAAACCCTTGAAAATAAATGGTAGGAGGACAAAATGAGCTTTATTTTTTTCTTGTACTAACCTTATACACCCGGCCTGCCCTTGGAAAATAATTCTCTAGATTTCTTTTAGCAAACCCATGTAACTATGTGCCAAACTGGGATTTTACTTGGTCAACCAAGATTATGTAACTGAGACTTTTCACTGATTTCTTCATGCCAAAAAAGAATTTCTTCAGCCTAAAGAATAGGGTTTGTTTCAAGGAGCTGTGGTAGCAGCTTTTCCCTAAATTAGCAAAGTTAATTCAGTCATCTTGTTTGTTATCCCAGAATAACGATGCACAAGTTTCCAATGCTTCTCAAAACTCTAAGTTACCATCCTGTAATTGGGGGATCTGGAGAGACAAGGAGCCTTGACAGGCACTCAAGCTTAAAAACAACCTCACAGCATTTGCATCTGATGTGTCAGAAAGATTTGGCAATAATAGGCAATAATTGCTGGTACCAGGGGGACAACAGGTACCATTTTCCTACCGAGATCCAGTAATGCAACTGGAGGTGACCAATGGATAGATGGGCACTGCCAGGTCCCAACAATGAGGATTCTAACAAAGCAGAAGGGATGGAGATGGCCAGGCTTTTTGATCATCTATGGCTGGCAGTAAATTCAACAGGAATTCAGGGAGTCTGGCAGTTATGATCAGCAATGCTTCAGACACGCTGGGAAATGAGAAAAAAGGACAAGAGCTTCTGTGCTTTTGTCAACCTCAACACTTGTATAGGTGCAGATGCCATTTCTAACAGGAAACTGGAAAAACTTGCTTTTCACGTGTGAAATCTTTTTATTCCTTTGATAACTTTCCTTTTAAACTTCAAATTATTATTTTAATCAAGAAAAGGCAGCTCAGAATAAATTATAGAACAGACATAACGTTTGTCTCTAGAGATAATTACTCCCACTTTACCACCAGCAGCAACTTAATGAAAACAGCAAGAGTTTGGCAACACCCTACGGGCATCACACAGGCACAGGAGATGTCACCAATCTCGAGAGTCCCAGTAATAGTCAAATCCTTGAGGCAATATTCCTTCTTCCTCCAACTTTTCAAACTTTGGAAAACAGCTGACAAAAATAAATCAATAATAGTGATTTTTGCAGGCATTGCTCGGTTTGTTTTTAGTTGAAATTATTTCCCCAGAAAAGAGCACTTACTTGTATGATCCCAATAGCAACTGGCTGATAGAACTACTTCTAATTCCTATCCTGTTCTCCCTTGGAAGATTTCTTTTCCACAGTGCCCTCACATATTATCTTAACTTATTCCCCTTGAAAGTGGTTATAGGTAAACATATATAATGTATGGCAACAGAAGAGATACAAGAGGCTGTGTTTAAATTATTAACCAGGGAAGGGCAGTCCCTGCTTTTGGTCTGCTTAATAACTCTGCTGTAAACAACAACCCTCTCAGCATCATGTTTGCATAACCACAGTCAGAGTTTCTAATTTCCCCCCAGTTCACTGAGTCAAATAAGTTCTGAACTATTAGGCTGGAGTTAAGTCATTTATCTTTCAGATTTATCCCCAAAAGAAACACCTCTCTAACAACACACTAATACTTGCATTGGCAAGCAGGGTTTTTCCTAGACCTGACATGGCACAGGACTTCCTATAAAGTCAGGTTCACTTCTCAGAAGTGTTTCTCTAGAATGGCTCCAAGTAACTCCCTGTCTGATTCATGTCCTTCTGCAACTCTGCACAGTTACAGAGGTTACAGAGGTTACAGAGCCCTCTCGAAGCTGTTGGTGAGATCACCCTGAGCTAACTCATGGTGGTATAGAAAGGCTGCTGAGCTCTGTTACCTGCCCTCTGGGACACCAGCTAGTGACAGCTGTTCCCAGGTGGAACTGTGTCCATCCACGCTTGTGACAGCATTTATTTCCCATCCTGTACACGGACAGGGCACTGCTTGTGTTTTAATACTCCAGGTCAGTGAACGCGGGGGAGAGGACAGCAGATCAAACACTGTTTGCTGCCACAGAACTGTGACAAACTGGGAACTGCTGACTCCTGGAGTGATTCTCACCTCTTCAGCAAGCTCATCGCTTTCAGGAAACACTCTTTTCCCCTGAAAAATGCTTTTCATTTAACACTGAGCTTCATTAATTTTGAACCAGGTGCCGTCTTCCTTACTGCTGAGTTGAAGAACTACTGCTTTTATTTCTGCCTGAGATTTGTACCTGCTGACAGACTCTTTTAATGGGAGTCTTCATCAGATATTTCTCAAAATTTCAGCCACAAGAAGGCACAATCCTTTCTGATCTGTTACAAGAATATATTCCCATGACAATCTAGTGTCTCTTTCTTAAAATAAGAGACAAAGTAATAAGGCTATCTTGCCTTACAATTACAGCCACCTCAGCATACTTGAAGTCACCAATAAAGCATTAAGAAATACTTTAAATTGCTGGAAAAACTCCTAGATTTTTGCAAAGTTTCTCATTACTGAGCATTACTACAAAAGTCTGTCTCCAAACAACCCCCTGGCAGCAGCAGCTTTGTGCTGTCACCCACATTCAGAGCAGCCTGTGTAACGGAGTGATTCCCCTCCGATAGGCACACCAAGGGATTATCTTGGCATTCGACAGCTGCTTAATCTGCAGGAGCAGGTGTTATTTTCTTCCACGAAGGATTGAGAAAAACTGATTGGCAGTAAGCTGTGAAAACATTCTACCCTTTCAGTTCTTAAGAGAAAAATGCATCAATGCTTTTGCTTTGCCCTGTTTGATACAACCCAGGACTTCCTTGGCTCAGGGACTGCACAACAGCACCAGGATCCAGGCAGCAACACTGCCTGGGGAAGACATTCCTTTTCCAGCTGAGAAAGCCTTCATTACCCAGATGTCACCTTCTCTTGAACCCATTGTCGCTTTTGTAGACATGACTTAGAGGCATCTACCACAAATATCTGATACACAAAATACAAAATAAAAAGTCATGTGGATCTGGAGATTTCTAAAACATGATAATTCTGAGATTCAGCCCTTCCCTACTAATCACTTCAGTCCTTTGAGCGTATTTCTTCTTTAGACTTCAGTCCATCTTGTCTAATCAGTAAGGCAGGGATTCACCCCTACTCTTGCTTCCAGCTACAAGTTTCCAAAAAACACAGTGCTTCCACACAGATTATAACACATCCCTGCTTTGTCTCTTGACAGCAATTGTGGGAAAAAAAAATATTGGAGAAAGTCCAAGATTCCCTCAAAGACAGGCTCCTATCTGGTCAGATACCACTTTAAAATTAGTTTCAAGGTGTTGAATGGCATTTTCATCCTCAGCAAAGACCCTTGAAGTCAAGTCCAACCACTAAAACAGCACCACCAAGCTCACCACTAAACCACGTCCCTAGGTGCCACACCTACCCATCCTCTAAATACCTCCAGGGATGCCACCACTTAGAGCTTAGAATTATATCTTATTGACTGGCTGTTCAATGCAGCCCACCTGCTATTTAGGGTTCAACATAAGGACACAAGCTGCCTTTGGAAAAAAGTTTGTTGTTTCTGTGGTTTGGTTGTTTGGGTGTTTTTTCAACTTTTTTCTGCTCCACTTTTCTATTCCAGTTGTATCTTCTCAAAAATCAAAGGGAAAAGATTCAACTCTCCTTTAGTTTCTCTCTGACTCCCCTACACAAAGCTCAGAGAATTTAGTCTAAAGTGCAGTAGCTATCAGGAGGCATCTGTCTCCCAGACAGGGAACATAATAGTTATTCCTGAGGTGGCAGTAGTAGCAAGGAAATGATCGAGTGACATAAGCCCTGACAGTTCCAGTAGGAAAACTGCTCCCCAGGCTTCAGAGAAAAGTGGAGATCTGTCAGATCCCTGTGAGGCAAATTCACTTCCAACTCAAAGATGATGCTCAAAGCTGAGCAGATACATGGAAGCAAAAACGTCAGGCAAAGACTGGAAAAAGGATCCTTTTTGCCACCCCCACAGGAGTCTCGTGTCCCATCTCCAGCTAAGTTCAGCCCCACTGTGCCAGAGAAAGGCAGGAAAATGGATTCTGTGCCACTCACAGCTGAGGAACGAAGCATTCCCAGCCATGACAGGAAAGCCATCACAGGGGTTTATCTTAATACAGACCCACAGCGACTGAAGAGAAAAGCAGGCAGGGAAAGCAGCTCCAATTACCAGAGGTAATCACAATTTTAAATTGCTGAACATAAGAGCTTGACTCAAATCACAGATTCCAGTTTCCTTTTGCATCTGCACTCTATAGCAATTTTCTGTTTCCAATTTTCTCGGAAACCATTAGAATTTGCAAGTAAAACAGGAGCATAAACACTGTATTGAAACCAGTACTACTGTTCCCAAAACAAGAGAAGCTTTAAATACACCCTTGCTAAAGTAGCGGTCACGGAACTTGATACTTATTTACTTCATGACCAGGTGATACTTTGTTTAAAAAGTGCAGGTTTTGTGCCAGTTCCCATTGAAATTAAACTAATATAGGATTTAATATTTATCACTTTAACCACCATTACCTCATGACTCTTCTGCATCATTCCTCGGGGGCGTCACAAGAATTCACTAGTCCCTCAAGGTATCATTTCCTATTTTCCCGAACTAAGTTGCAACCACTTTGTTAACGGCTGAGCCCATCACAAAGGAGGATTTGTCTCATGCCCTGCCTGATCCACAGCACGATGCAGTTTCCCGGTGTTCCTCTGCACACCAGTTTACAAGTGTCACCGTCAGAGCCGCCGCCTCTTCCTGTGCCCTATCCGGGAGACATGATTCCCTAGCAACCTGCTCTTTAAATTTCCTTCCTTGCTCTTGCTTCTAAATGAGCACAGGCTCATTTAGTGTACTCACTCCCAGCCTTCAGCAGCTGCAAGGTCACCCAAATTATCTTCTTTTCCCCTACTGAGGGCTGAGGAAATTCAGTTACCTCAGATTTGCCTTCAGCCATGAACACATGCAGTTACCACACTTCCTCTGCTCCCTCATTTATGGTCAGAGTACAAAGTCTTTGCCTTAAAGAAAACATCTCAAAGATGTCTTACACTGTAAAAAAATGGTTTATATATTTTTAAACTTTCCATACTTTAAAACAGAACCACCACCCATACTCCAGTTATAACCTACGTATGATTTATATACTCTGCTTGCATATAGACTAGGGATTCCACTGAAGTCTTGGGAAAACTAACAGAGAAACAACTGTCCAAATATGCATTATATTTCACTTGAAAGTACTTTTTTTCTGGTTTTTAGTAGAATGAATTTCCTCATATAATTATTTTCAAGAAAGTCAATGATGTTTCTTTCCTGCTGATGATCTTTATTTTTCTTTATAGCAAGAAAATGTTAAATATTCACACTTCTGTGATTCCAGAAACTGCTCTGTCTTTGCAGTCTGTGCAAAGAAACTCGCCCTCTACTCTTTTTAAAAGAATGTGCTGTTTGTAAAGCAGAACTAGTTCACAGGCCTCAAAAACCTTTCCACAGGTTGATAGAGAGTGACAGTCACACCATGTGATGCCAATTAGTTGCTTGGCTTCAGCAAAGAGTACAACTACACGTACCACACCAGCCTCTGGCCAGACTGCTCCCAAAAGGCTGGGTGCCCATTACTGGACAGCTCTGGAAATTCAAGGCTTGGGTAAAATTCTTCTGTTTTCATCCGCTGGGCTACATCAGTGTTTTCACTGGTGCTGGCT